TTGGTGAGAGGAAAGATCCGGGCCAGGGAAGTCAAAGATACAGTGAAATAGATTCTGTGAGGCACTTGGAACTTGTCCCTTCGCAAAATAGATCTTTGGGGGTTGAAAACCGTAGGAGTAAGGTGCTGGGCCTTCTGCATAGCTGTTCTGGGATATCAGGAGAGGGCCTTTTCGAGTGGAAAACAACATGTGGAACAAATATTAGTTTTGGCTGGTCTTAGGGCATACGATTTGACACGAGGCAAATTCTTGTCATTTTCTCACTACTAATATCTCTGGGAACGCTTCTGCCCAGTGGGAAGTGTCTACTTGGTGTGTCCTGGGTCCGGTGGGAGTTTCTGAAGAAACTGCCGGTTACTCACTGTTTAGGTTTCTTCAAGGTGTGAACCATTTGGAAGATAGACAAAGTAGTCGGAAATGAAAATATTCATTAGCAATAAAGTGAGGTTGGAGAACCTGGCTTGGACCCGCCTGCCCCAGCAGCTTACCGAGCAAAGGAGAGGAGAATGGGCACAACCTGCTGGCAGGCAAGTTCTGAGTAAAGGAGCCAAAGGCGGCACAGGACACCCGTGTGCCACGAACCTCTTTCTAATGTTCCTGGTCAAGTAAGTGGCCTCTCCTTCAGGGCGGGGTGACACTGAGGGCAGGATATAAAAATGGGGGGATGGAAAATTGAATTTTGTGGGCCAAAGCCCTCTACTCCCCACTGTGCCTCTTTGTGTATTGATTTGTTTGGGGTGGTGATAAAAGGAGAGCGTGAGGAAGCCTATTTTGCCTTTAAGTTCAAGCCACGTTCTGCAGTCCAGTTTCATCAGTAGTAAAGATAATCCTTAGCTCTCTACCTGATGCCTGTATTTCTGCTGTCAAATCTCAGAGTAGAAAGTAATGTCATTAATTTGCCCAACAGTTCAGGCTTCTGCAGAGATCAACTGCACATTTTCCCAGTGGCCTATGCGAGCCAGTCCGTAGAGTGGAGGTTGAATCTAACAACGGGAAAATTTTACTATGGAACGTGGTGCTTCAGGTCTGGCTCAGCTCTAGGCAGTCTTTTATAGCAGCAATTGTACTACTGACCAGTGATGTACTATTGACTAATGATGGACGAAAAAATAGAAATCACCTTATTTATGAGTATGACCCATCAGAGGCAGTACTATTATTTTCTGTCATCCTAGAGAAATATTTCTGGGGGAAATGGAAGAAAGGAAGGAGGTGAAGCAAAAGATATACAAAGGCCAGCCTTTCCCATTTGCTACTAAGTTACCTGGAGAATGAAAAACAGCATAGTTTTTAAGAGCAGAGGTTCCAGAATCAGGCAGATCTGGGGTTAAACTCTGTCTCTGACTTGACTAGCTGTGTGGCCTTGACAAGTCAGTGAACTACCTACACCTCAATTTCTCCATTCCAAAATGAAGATAATAACAGTACACAGCTTGTAGGGCTGTTATGAGAATTAAATGTGATATTGTACTTAAAATGCTTAACAAAATACCCGGCATGAAGTAGGCCCAGAGCAAACATCAGCTCTTACCACCCTTGGTTCCCAGGAATGTGCTGAGGGTGCGTGTACCCCTTGAACTCTTTTCTCCCCTAATAGAAATCATTCCTTTTCTACGTTTTGAAACTTGCAGTTTGTCCCTGAAAATAGTTCTCTGAGAACAAAAAATTAAAAGTGTACATTCTAAACTCTGGTTTACCAGGAGAAAAACGATTGCTTGTTTCGGAACTGTTTGTATAATAAAGTTCTCATTTGCATTTTCACGAGTCTCCTATCCAAGTACTAACCAGGCCTGACCCTGTTTAGCTTCTGAGATTAGACAAAATCGGGCACATTCAGGGTAGTATGGCCATAGATACATTTTCATGAATCTGAACCCAAACCACAAATATGTTTTGCTGTATCCTCTTAAATAATGACAGTGTTTCATTATTATTCAAATGTAAAAGGGAAGCATGGACTTCGTAGGACCTCATAGTTATAATCTTACAGCATCCCTCCTTCTTTCTCAGCCTTCTCACAAAGGAGGGTTATCATAAAATGCTACTTCTTCTATTTGTCTATTTCTTCTAAGAATCTCAAAGCACTTACATCTCCATTTGTGCAATATTCCTGTGACTAACGAATGAGAGACTATGGATAAAGTTGGAAAATGGAAGGGGCGCGGAGACAGTTGATAGAGCCCACACTGCTCAGTGAAGTCCTGCCACAGGGTGGGCCAGCTGCCCGCTGAGCCATCAGCCCAAGCCCACCACTGCTGTGCCGTCGACATGTGCCCCAAACACGCAGCTCTCTGGTTTCCACATTCCTTCAGTCCTTACGAAAGAATTCTTCCTGCCGTGCTTGTCACCCTCATCAGACTGACATTAAGCACTTAAAAGGCAGGAACTCATTTTTCTTCTAATTTTCCCCAGCCCGCCATCAGATTGGCTAGAAATGTTTGTTTTGTCTCTTCTTGCATAATAAAGAAAGCAAATTCACAAAAGTGCAAATTATTGGACTTCACCCTCTCTGTGAGGATTATTTCTTAAGACTCTTGCCTATTTTTGTTCTTGTTTTCAAAAAGGTGGGAAGGAAGAATTTTTTCTCATTTTTTGCTGTCATTTTCTAAATGTCCTTTATTTGGCAATCTTGCATTTTCTGCTTATTTCAACTCTCCCTATCCCAGTGGTGCTAGACAAGGATAAAGGGAGGAGGCAAAGACAGAGCTGGTCTCAACTGCCACCCCATTGGGTAACATTCTTAATAGCGCTAACATCTGGTTTCTTGTCTGAAACTTCTAAAGTTTGTTGGGGTGATTAAATTAGATGATATGATGCAAGTGCGCCCCCAAAACCTCTCATGAGCATTTCCTTCATCTGCTCATTTTCCTTCTCTAGTCAAATATCGGTGTTTATTCTATTTGTATTTATGCTTGCATCAGAAGGCAACATTTCTGGGTTTTTGTTTGTTTTGCAGGAGGCTGTTTTTATTTATTTGAAGTGGCATTGCTTTCCTACAAAAGTCACACAGAGGCCCAGTGACCCAGGGGTGAAACCTATAAAAGGGAAATATTTATTTTGGAACAGTGGTGTTTCAAGTATGATTTAACCCCAGGCAGTCTTTTATAACAGTCATTGTATTATTAATTTTGCCATAATTATTGACAAAAAAATAGACTTCATCTCATTTATGTGCAGAAGCCATCAGGGGCAACGCTGTTCTTTTCCATCCTAGAGAAATAGTTTGATGGTGGTAACTAAGGACAGGGTGGCAGAAGGTCTTTTGTCCTGTTTGCAGATTAACAACGACTTGGAATCATTGTTTTACAGCAATAAAGACACACTCTCAGTCAAAGCCAGTGAAAATGAAGAATCAAGCAATTCAGTTTCTCTGATCCTATTTAATAAAACCCTAATATGCAAATTGACCAAACGGCAGAACGACCGGTCGCTATGATGCGCACTGACCATCAGGGGGCAGACACTCAATGCAGGAGCTGCCCCCTGGTGGTCAGTGCGCTCCCACAGGGGGAGCGCCACTCAGCCAGAAGCTGGGCTCACGGATGGCGAGCATAGCAGTGGTGGTGGGAGCCTCTCCCGCCTCTGCAGCAGGTGGACATCTTCCAAGGGGTCCCTGTCTGCTAGAGGGTGCAGGTCGGGCTGAGGTACCTCCTTCCCACTCCCTCCAGTGCACAGATGTTGTGCACCGGGCCTCTAGTTATGTAAGAAAGCAAGTTGACTAACTTCTCTTCCATGGACTGTGTCCACCTTTTGGAAGGAAGGTATTAGCAGTCCTAAAACAAGAGGGGGAGATTGTTCTTTTTATAGTGAACATAACAAATAAGACAGCTTTTCTCTGTGGCTTTGCAGGATATTCTTCCCACCCAGAAGAAGTAGAAAGTAGACGGATAATTTTTGCATTCTTTTTCCAGCTATGTCAAGAGAACTGAAAATATAAGCCAAGGAATTTCTCCCATTACTTCCAATTTCTGGGCATGAATACCAGAAAAAAAGAAAAAGGAATTAATCTGCATTTCCATTTTGAAAGTGCCTTTAGATTAATGTAGTTAATTCCTCCATTTTTGGAACCATAATATCCCCATTGTTATTCAGGCAATTCTAATTTCCCTCCTACAAGTCAATAAGAACTAAAAATGTGGGTGCAGACATGTCCTGGGTTTCCTTTACTCAGTAAGAGGAATTGCGGTCCTAGAAATATGATATGTATGACTTCTTATTTCTTCCTTAATCACAGAGGCTTGTGTGATGTTTGCACAAGCGCCCATCTCCTCCTGAGCCTGTTACACCTGCTTGCTCATTCGTTTTCTCCTTGGCTTGCATAATTCGTTCTTTTTTATTATTCAGGGAAATTATTATATTTTTGTTTCCTAAAGACCCATTTCAAATAAGAGATGCTAATGGCACTCAGAATTACCTAAGCTCAGCTCCCAAGCACTTGGACACAAGCTGTATAAAATGTATACACAAAAGGGGCTTCTTGGCTACGGGGACTATTTGAATAAGCATTACCAAATCATTATACTGAGTTGTATTAAACTGCATTAACAACTATTAAACATCTTTACATGTTCAATACCCATATATTAAACCAATACACTAATACAAGTTTAGAAACTTAAAGATTACGTTTTAAAGTTTCATACATTTTTATGACATCATTGATCAAAAGTTTCATTTGTGGTTCCCCATAACACTAAAAGATTTTTTTTTTATGAAGAGAATCTGAAATGAAATTAGATACCTGCAGATACAGGATGCAATTGATCACTGGAAACTCATTTTCCTAAGCCCTCAATTAAAGACTCAGACAATTGGAGACAGAATTTTCAACACTAGTTTTTGGTTGAATTATATTTCATTTGGTATCACAGCCTTGCTGTTCAGCAGGTGGAAGACATCCACTGACTTCTATATGCACAACATTCTATGATGGAGACTAATTATTTGTGATTTAATTAAACCACAAAGTAGGGGCTTGACGCCCACGCCGCTGAAAGGGGTGCAAGGAGGAACCTCTGAGGTGCATATTAGGGAAAGATCTGCTTCTCCTCAAGGCCTTGAAATCCCAGATCCCGACGGGCTGGGCGCCTCTGGAAGTCACCGCGCTTCGCTTTGCATAACAATACACAGCTTTGCATAACCAACGCCGACCGGCATTTAAAGGCGTCGCCGCGGGCCCCAGACCTTGTAGTTACCTTCGCGCGAGCCCACCTTTTGCAATGATGTCCCTGATTCGGGCTCCGCTCCTGATCTCCCTGGGCTTGCTTCTCGCTGGCCATGAGGCCCTTGCAAAGGCTCCAATGAAACAGGCATTCCTGATCAGCAGCTTTTCCTGGGAGAACTGTGACGATGGGAAGGACCCTGTGCTGATCAAAAGCCTGAATGTGGAACCTAGCCCCATTGTAGAGCCTGGGAATGTGACTGTGAGTGCTGAGACCCAGACAAGTGTCCCGCTCAATTCTCCTCTGAAGGTGGACTTAACTGTGCAGAAGGAAATGGCTGGCTTCTGGGTCAAAGTCCCATGTGTAGAACCAATAAGTAGCTGTACCTATGAAGACATCTGTAACGTATTTGACATTTTCCTTCCCCCTGGAGAGCCCTGTCCAGAGCCCCTGCACACCTATGGGCTTCCCTGCCACTGTCCCTTCAAAGAAGGCAAATACTCACTGCCCAAGAGTGTTATCACCATACCCCACCTGGACCTGCCCAGCTGGCTCAGTACCGGAAACTACCGCATCCAGAATATCCTAAGCAGCGGCAAGACTGGCATTTAAAGGCGTCGCTGTGGGCCCCAGACCTTGTAGTTACCTTCGCGGGAGCCCACCTTTTGCAATGATGTCCCTGATTCGGGCTCCGCTCCTGATCTCCCTGGGCTTGCTTCTCGCTGGCCATGAGGCCCTTGCAAAGGCTCCAATGAAACAGGCATTCCTGATCAGCAGCTTTTCCTGGGAGAACTGTGACGATGGGAAGGACCCTGTGCTGATCAAAAGCCTGAATGTGGAACCTAGCCCCATTGTAGAGCCTGGGAATGTGACTGTGAGTGCTGAGACCCAGACAAGTGTCCCCCTCAATTCTCCTCTGAAGGTGAGTGGTGGTGGGAGGGGGGATCGGCCAGGAGCTGGAGGGAAGGTGCCAGGGGCCAGCTGACAGGGCACTGGGGGACTTATGCTCAGGAAACTGGATCCTGGAGGCCTGGCATCCCAGAGCAGCAAAGGAGGCACTGGTTTGTAGACTCGTGCGCGGGTTCATAGACTCTCAGTACCATGATGTTTGAGATTGGAAGGAATCTGATGTCAGCCCCAACGGCTTCCCACTGAGGGCACGGATGGCTCATGTCCTCACACCTGGCAGGGAGTGCGCCGGCCTCCCGGACAGGATGGCACAGTATGCACTGTTGTCCAACAGCTCTGGTTGGGCAGTTTGGTTTTGGTAATGGTGTCATTATTAACTGTAAAACAGGCACATCAATTAGCAAGTGATATGTAGCCAACTTTAGAAAACACAAATGGTCGAAATGGCGGGTGAGGGGGGATAAAAGAATCATCTGAAATTTCTCTACCTCATGATAAGAGGTAAGCACTTTGAACATTTTGGAATATTCCCCCATATAATCACATATAACATACATATTAATTTAATGGATATATATGAAAATAACCAATGCTCTTTATAAATGTCCTCTTATAATCTAACTCCTCACAAGATAGGCATTGTTAGCACTTCATTCTCCTCTTCACCCCTGTGGCTTTCTCTTTAAGAGCTTAACTTATTTTCCAAATAGTCAAGGAAGAGAATGAACATGTTTTGTTACCCCAAGTTCAGACTAACCCAGTCTTGCTCTCCTGAAGTACCTTGAATGATTTTTCTCATTAAAATTTTTTTATCACTAACTTAAAAAAAAAAACACACAAAAAACAAACAAACCACAAAGCTGCTGTGTTCCATTCAAAATAAATTCTTAAATTTACTTTAAGAAAGAGATTATTGCAGAACATAAACATTGTTTCTAAATCCTGTAAGGGCAGAGAGTTTGTCTTCTACTGTGTTATCGCCTACACACTCCGTGGCATACAGCAGACATTTAATAAATGTTTCTTGAAAAAATTAAAACAAAAACCATAATAGCTTTTGATTCCATCGTACAAAAATCTAAGGAATTCATATTTTAAAAAGAATAGCCGTAGCCCTGGCTGGGTAGCTCAGTTGATTGGAGCATTGTCCTGCACACTAAAAGTTTGTGGGTTTGATTCCAGGTCAGGGCACCTACCCAGATTGCAGGTTGCATCCCTAGAGGCAATCAATTGATGTTTCTCTCCCACACCAATGTTCTTCTCTCTCTTGACTCAATAAAAACATATCCTTGGGTGAGGATAGATGAATAAATAAATAAAGGAGTAGCATTAAACTACCTGCTTATGACTTTTCATTCATCCGAAGAGGAAAAATGATACAACTTCCTTTTAAAATGCAGAATTAGTGAATTGCCTTCTTCTGGTTAAATAGAATGATGCATCTAAATTGTGATGCTCATTTTATCATGAGAATCATTTGCACTATCAAGACAGAAATATATCCCTAACACTTAGAGGTTATTATTTTTAAGTTAATAATGATAATTTTGAATTCCAATATCCTACTTTCAACTTATAAAATTCCTCTTCAAAGAGCAACTAGACATACAGGAAGTGGTACTAACTGGGATTGTGGCAGCTAAGAAATTAAAGAAAAAAGTAGACAAAGTACCCTATAAGAAAAAAAATGAGAGGTCTGGTTTTAATAAATAGTTTATTTTTTTGTGTCTGAACAAATTTCACGTTAGTCCCCCTCCCGACAAACACACTCACCCCAATTCCATAGACTATGAGAGAGCAGTTGGTAGTTTAACAGGAATTACTACCCAGTTTAGTTTTTCTGTGATGCTAGTTGTACATATTGAGTTGAGTGATATAAGTTACAAACATGAAATTGCCTAGAAAGCACACGAACCTTGGCAAATATTCAGAGTCAGGCATAAGGCTATAAACTAAATGATTTAATGACAAGTAGAGAATTACTGTAAAATACAATGCTGGCGAAAGGCGGCGCCCAGCGCCTGCTGGCCAGGCTAAGAAACCCAAGATGGATTCCGGGAAGGGGGCACAATGACCGGCTGCTGTGTGGTTGCCGGTTCCTCCTATACTGTCATTACTGTGCACAGTCCTGAAATCTGAATGACAGTGGCCTGAGCCCTTCCAGACAACAGAAAGAAGGTCAATTTTAGTAATGAGGAAATGGAAGCGGTAGTGCCGCAGATCACTGACCCTTACAGTTTCCCGTGAGATGGAGGAGCAATGAAGTGCACCAGGAAATTATGGTGTAGGAGAACAGTGACACCACCATCATAAAGCAGAGAGCCAAAGAACAAGTAGCACACGCACTAAACTGCGCATAAATCAAACACATGCTATCCACCCTGGGTGTATTCCTGTTCTCAAACTGTGAAGAATTGGGCCCAACAGTTCTAGGAAGGACGGAACAGGCAAAGAGCCAAAAATTTAAGTTCAAGAGTCTAAAATGATACTTTTAATCGGGGAAAATATTGAAAAATTTTAGCAACTCTATGGTCTAGGAGGTACTGACCCATCAGAACAGATGCTGGTCAAGGTGTGGGAATAGCATCCATAGGACGGGCTGCCTTACAACGGGCTACCTGGTTAATTCCCAGATCCCGGGTGGGTCTAAGGGTCCAGAGAGGAGCCAAGTCAGCTCAGGCAGAGGTGGGGGTGGGAGCTCTTGGGGCTGGGCCAGTGGTTGTTTACCAGATGGTGCAAAATTATTACAATATTTAACATCTAATCCAGGCTACCAGTGATCAGCACTACTCTTAACTCTACTTCAGTTCACCTCCATGCCTATTCACCCAACACTTTGTGGTGTAAAGCAAGGGAAGAGTAGCCCATTAGCAGAGCTAACAGAAACTATTTTTATGTCTGATGGCCCTTTTGTACCTCCTGTACTTTGGCGTTATGTTCCCAAATCATGCTCATATCCATAATCCAGGACTTGTTTTTAATAAGGCAGGAGGTGTGCTAAACTCACTAATGTAATCAATGAAGTTTATTCCAATGGATAATAATGATGCTTGATTATTTGGTGATTCAAGGAGCTCAAAAGATTTTTATGATGGCATCCTAAACTTCACTTAGGGCAATAAAGCAGAACTGCAATTCTGACCAGGTTAGACCAGGCCTAGCAACATTTATGGATTTGACAACTTTCCATTTTTATCAATTTAGTAATTACAGTTATTTTAAAGGACAAAATGTGAAATATTAGCAAAGAGGATATAGAATGAAGATTTGAAAGTATCAAGACTTCAAAGACACAAAAGACCAAATGTTGGTTGTCTTCAAATATGGAGCAAAAATGATCACTCAAGATGAAGCTACTGACAGTGGCTAAGATCTGCAGAGACACCAGGAAGAACAAAGAAGCTGTCACAAAAGCAATGACTTTTCTGGATGTTCCCCCCACATGTGACAATGGAGGTAAAGAAAAGGAGACACCCAGTTGCCAAGAGGAAGCCAGGACGCATGGTGGCAGAAGAGCACGACATACTCAGTTTGCACAGCACACAGGGCTGGAATATCATTCATAAACATCTAATGACACGAGCTGAGCTTCCAATCAGGTGAGTTATCACAGAAAAAAAAGTTTTTCAAGCCATAAAGAGATGTATAAATGAGCCAAATTTTCAAAAATAGTTATTAAAGCACTCCTAATGTGCCATCACTGAGGTGGACACTGTCTCTGACCTCAAGTGCTGTAGGGAAGTCAATAAGCAACTGCAGAATGACAGGAAACAGCTGGAGGAATCATGTTTATCATTATTCTACCGTGCAATGTACCAAAAACTGAAATTTTTTAATAGTCAAAAGAAGATAAACTGAAGTCTAAACTTCAAGGGGCGTCTTCTTTGAGGCTATACATGTAAGGAGGCGGGAGAAAATGCCCATAAATTTGAAAAACTACGTACCCCTCATACATATCAAGTTGACATCTTGAATTAATCACAAGTGAAAATAGTTGTAAAGGAAATACTATTGACATTTTAAAATACAACTTTACTTCACTCTTTCCAATGAATTCAATGGGACATAAATGCCATAGTGATTTTACACCCACCATCATCTATTGAAAAATAGATTCAACTGAGTATTCTTAAGTAGTTGCGAATATTACACGATTCTTTTCTCCCATTGCAATTGTGTTTCCATTCCTCTTTTCCCATATAATTTTATCTTAATAAGCATTTAGTATTTAAAAGTATTTTATTGATTCTGTTATTATAATTCTCTGCAACAAAAAAAACATAAATTGAATGTTTTTACTTAAAAATTTTTTCCTTAAAAAAAAATTTCCTATTATCATGAGGTCCTAAGCATTAAAAAACTTTCTTCTAGAGTTTTTTGAAGTATTTGTACACAATTAACAAATGAATATGAATATTTCAAAAATATCTGGTAAAGATTAAACATAAAAAGTAAAATATGTTGGAAATGTATTTCTTAATGAGATGGGATGCTAACCTAGTGTCTTAATTAGAGGGGGCCTCTTCCACACACTAATAAATTGTCCCTTTGGGTTGCACTCTGGGAGATTTTAAACCCTGAATCTATTGGGAACACTGTGATGATGCCTCTAACTTTTGGGTGGAATGTAATCCCAGCATTGAATAATTGAGCCTTACACTCCTCAACACAGTTCCCAGCACCCAGTAGGTGCTTAATGAATG